CAACAATCAATGGCGACATTCTGATGACCCATGGCCCATAGGCCAAGTAACAGTTGTGGCTACAAAATTGCTACAGAAAGGATTTTTCTTGGAGCAACATCAGACAAGCACAGAATGTTATGTTCAACCACAAAGTGACCCAGAATTGAGTTTGGACAAGCAGTGACTACCTATGAAGTGTTTTCCAACTATGCCTACACATGACTCACTGATGACCAGTGTGCAGGGATCTACAGATTTATCAGGATACATAGAATGTGAGAAAGTCCCAAAAGTAGCTTCAACAAGTCACACGCAGCCATGCAGCCCATCTGAGAAGGCAAATAATGAACACTGAAGTCCTGGCAGGCTCATAAAAGCAGCAGCAGCAGCCTGTTTTGAGATGAAAGAGTTTTCTTCAAGTATGAGTGAACTACTGACTACTGAGTTACAGAAGTGCCAAAGCTTGAGCAGGTTGGACCAGTGCTAGTGGAAGAACTGCTCATAATGAAGGTCCCAGTTGAATTTGAGGCAGATGACAACACTCAAATGGGTTCTTTATTTTGTTCACATCAAGTTTCTCTGATAGCTACTGGTGTGTTGCTACAGGAGTCCTGTCTAGGAGGTCAAGGTGACGAAAGAAGCGACCTCAGAGTTCCAGCAGTCAGCAAAGATACACATCAGTTAACTGATGACCTATTTGTATCAAAGATTCCACTTGAATTCAAAACAGAAAGGCTCAAAGAACAGCCAAGCCCACAAGAGTTGAAGTTGAAGAGCTTGAAATGCTCACAGGCAGCCCCAAAGTGAAAAGGTTGGCAGACGAAGAGGTTGTAGGCTCACACAGGATGCCACAGTGCACAAATTGTGCCGAGTCGAGGGTTATTGCAAGAAGAAGCAGGATTAAGGAGCCATCAAGGCTCATAATATGAAGGATGCTGCCAGAAGAAGTTTTGCGAGTTGAAATGTTGAAGCACATGGTGAGGGTGGACGACCTCACACCTGAAATATTCTGCAACTATGCAGCACCAACAATAGATATTTTATTCAAGAATCCATCAAGAGTATTGACATGTGCACTCAGTATTAGGACTTATGCAGAAAGTCCTGCGATGTTGACTAAGCAGAGTCACGTGACCACTCTGCACATTGTGGCCATGCACACTCAAGTACTACATACTGATGCATCTAGTGTTACAGGCCAACTACACAAGATTGCAGCAATCGAAGGATATGAAGAATGGGGCAAATGATGTACCATGTGCAGGATACCATGGTTACAAGCAATGGCAACAATGACAAGGATGTGAGTGATAATGGCAGCAATTCAAGCAACAGCAACAACAACAACAACCTTACCTACTGCAGATAAATAGCCATACAAGATAGGAAGTGCCATGCTATGCTATGGAAACAGGGCATGACAAGCATGGATACTGAGCCTGAGGGCTCAAAGGTTTGTTTCAGTTTTAGACCATTTTACTTACATCTATTCTACACTAGGGAAAATCACATGATTCAGTCACTTGTAGTCCTAAAAGTGGGTCATCCGACATGTACATTTCGTCCTGAAACTGGGACTAACCAACATTGGCCGGTGGTCCCTAGGGTTGGGTAGGCCGGACTGTGAAGGTGGGGTCAGCCTATGTCACAGGATGATGGATCAACTTCCCTGGAAGTGGGGTCAGCTGACATGACTATAGGATGGATTGATGACCTGGAAGTGAGGTCGGCTGATGCAGCTATGGGATAAATTAGTGTCCTGGAAGTGGGGTCGGCTGACACAGCTATGGGATGAATTAGTGCCCTAGAAGTGGGGTCAGCCGATGCAGCACAGATCTCGATTTTGGACAGGTCACATAGTGAGACCTATGATAATCTTGGACACAACCTTAATTGTGACATGAACAACATCACAGCTGTCATGATTATCACACATGTCTACCTGTACTTCGGATGCGTCTCTGGAACATTACATAGGACTATATATGGAGTGGTCAGTCGCTGCTAGGCTGATTTCCGGTTTCAATAAGTGACTACATGTATTAAATGATCCGGTAGTGCTACTACAATACATTTTCTGTGAAATCCCAAGGGTAAGCCACCACTACCGCTCAGCCAACAGCATGAGGGAGTGCTTGCTTGGCTCAACAATGCAATTATGAGAATGTCAGTGAACATTTAGTATTTAGTATATAGAAGCTGAATCTGGTGACAGTGGAGTCACATGACATTGCTATTCGCGATGTATAGTACAACACACAGTACTGACTCAGAGGAAGTTGCTGGCACTCATGGCAACTGAACATGCGCCGAGGCCGAGAACGTGACATTGACAGTGACCTCGCTAGTTGGACTGTGGCCAAACAATGGTACATAAGACTCAAGTATATAAATCCCCCCCAGTCAGTGGCATGTTTTTTCCCTTACTGCATTTTCCTGCGATGTGACACTTCCCCTCCGTCGTCCTCCCTCTCCCTCCATCTCCATCTCCCTTTCCCCCTCTCTCTCTCCTGTTTTGTGTGCTACATCATCTTCATTTTTATCTCAGCCCATTGTCTCGGCTGTCATAAGGTAAGTGGCACCTCTGATCCCAGAATTTTCACATTACTTGATTACTGTTACTTTGCAGCATCCTTGGTGCCTCACTATTGACTGTAGTCTGCAGCTACAGGATGTAGGGAGGGGCTGCCCTTGACCTTAGATTGTGCTTGGCCAGTGCAATTTTTGGTTGTTGGGTAATATGTTGGGTCTGGGGGAATAGTCTGTGCCTACATTGTAGGCCAGCTCATATGGGATCTGGGGGCTAGTCTGTACCTACATTGTAGGTCAGCTTATGAATGTTTATTTGGTCTGTACCCACCTGTGTGGGTCAGCCTATGACGTTTTTTTGTGTGGTATGTGTTGGTATATATTGGTAGTAGCTAGTTGGTCAGGCTTTGGTGTAGTGAGTATTCAACTTCTGTATAATCTATGTTGTACTGACATAAACTTTCTAGAGCTGTTTGTCTTTGACTCCTGGTGAATAAATAGTGCACCTCAGGTATGTGAACTTTGCAAAGTTGTGTTGATGCTAATGTGTTTTTAGTATCTTTGTTATCAGCTTTTGTGCACTTTTTTGGGAACTTGGTTGAATTGAGGATGGTTTTTATTGGCCCAACTGTACTTCTGGAGGAGGGCCCCCTCTGGAATGCAGGCAAGCCTTGGTTTCTTATGAAACCATTATACCTTTGTAGTTGAAATTGTAACTGTAGTTGAATTTATGTATGACCTTGTAAATGTCACTGCTTTGATTGGATTTGAATGCTGTGTGGGAATCTATGCTTCTTTTTTTGAATGAAGCATGTGCTAACCCTAACCCTAGCATAAGACTTGGTGTATTTCTTCATGCAAGTCTCCTTCTAACCCTAACCTTAGCAAATGACTTGGTGTATTGTTTCATGTCAGTCTGCCTGGCTGGTGGATGGTGCTAGATTAGCACTGGTGTTCCATGGCTGATCTTCTTAAGCAATGTTTCCCTTTGATGCTCAAGAGCTTGCCAATGGCATTACTAGCAACCCAACATCTTCCCTTCAAATGCTGACTGGATGTGTTCCTAGCTGTTGGATGTTGCTAGATTGCTAGATTAGTATTGGTGTTCCATGGTTTCCCATGATGCTCAAGAGATTGTTGGACTGGATTGACTTGGAGTTCAACTGCTGCTGAGTTTGATTCCACCATTCCAGGCCCCTGCTTACATGACTAGATGTTTCAAGAAACATGGCATATCTAGTAGACTAAGTTGGGTTTCTGGATTCTGGATCTTCCCCCAAGTCAAGCAAGGTCCCTTGTGGAGAATAACTTCCAACTTATGTACTGAGTGATTTTTAACTATTTTTCTCATCGGTTGAAAAATTTTCCTTTGACTTTTCCAACACCCCCCACATCATCATGGATGATTCCCTGCATACAATGGTGGTTGGAATGCTGAAGGCTGCCTTTGGAACAGTCCATATGATCTCTTCCAGCTCTATTTTCTCAAATCACCAGCTCAGGAAGCCAAGGTAAGCCATAAGCAGGCAATGCTACACTTGCTATGTATTTAGTTGGATAATAGACTTCGATCCTTGGCTGAGTTAACCCAAGTCAGGGCAACATTGCAAGGGGAATCTGGTCTAACTTCAGATGCTATTACATCTTTGGAAGTTAGGCTGGCATCCAGCAGTCATTACACATGCCATCCTCAATCCCTGTAGGTGATTTCCACAACAATTGCAAGTGATCCAAGTCTGACCCTTAATAGATGTGTTGCATTGGGATGCAGACAGGTTTTCTGAACCATTGGTGCATGCCAAGGACAGGACCATCCATTTTGAAAACCCAAAAATTGGGTATATCAATGCTCCTGCCACAGTTCTGGATGTGCATGGCAGGGTGATAGTATGGTATCTGCCTGGTATTGTCCCAGATGCATGGATAGTGAGTGTTTTCATTCTCTGACAACCCTTCACTACAGCTTTTATATCATAGGAACTTCTCAATTCCCTTCTCCTTTCCATAAAAGACAATCTTCAGACTGAGCCCAAGAACAAGCCAAAAGACAAAAGCAAGCTTAACAAACGATATGGCCATAAGCATCAGCCTGTTGACCAAGTCATGTATGGACATGGCAGGATTTCCATGTCTCCTGCCACATTCCAACAGGCTCATGAGGTTTGTCCAGGTGCTGTGATTTCCATGGTAGGGGCTGACAAATTTAAAGAGGTTGGTTGATACACTCTATCAAAGCACATCCCTCAAACAGAAAGCCAATAGGGAATGGCCTGCTCAAGATTTCTTATGTGGAACACTTCTGGAGCAATATAGCAAAGGTCTCATTGCCAGATATGGCCAGGGCTGGTGATCAAGCAATGTTGGCCAAGGCTGGCAGGGTGGAGAATGAGATATCCCTGGATTGGCCATCAGTCTATACCAACATTGATATTATTGTCAATCAGGAAACTCCCTCTCACTGAGATGTCACATCCACCCCAACCCTTCTGGATTCATTAGTGAGCCTGGGTTCTCACAATGCTAAATTCCTTATTCCAGATCTGGGGGTCAAACTGGCTTATTCCCCAGGCACCATGATTTTCCTATCAGGAAAAATCCTTCAACATTCTGTGCCAAAGTGGGAGAAGGGAGAAAGAATTGCATTGGTGCATTATATGAAGGACAAAGTACATGACTGACTCAAGGTCACAAGACCAGCATGGACTACCCAAAAGGACATTCTTGGGTTGGCTGTCAGATACACTTAAAACACATTTTAGTGGCAATTTTTGGGTACAAATATTTTAAATACATTTGATAACCTTGTTCTGGACTTGTGTGGTGTTGTTTTGGGGATGAAAAATTTTCAATACAGCTGAAAACCTTGCTTTTGACTCTTCCTGTGCTCAATCATGCGTTGTCGTAGAACCAAAGTCCTTGGCAAAAGCTCTGCAGGAGGTTTGTATAAATTTGAAGTCACTAAAACCCAGAGAGGAAAGGACACCTACAAGGAGGTGGATGCTAGACACCTCTACCTCCCATCTCAGAGTCAACCTTCAACTCCAAGGACCCCCAGGACAATAGGCTCCCAAAATGTTGTCCCAGACTCCTTTGACATGCCTACCTTGGACTGGAATGATGAGGAAGATACCCCAAATACTAGGAGGGTTACCAAGGTGGGAAGTTTTGCCTGATACTGCATTGGCTAAATTATCCCCTAGAGTCAAAATGATTTCATCAGAGAATGGCTGCCTTGGAGAGCAGAATATCTCAAAGTCATTCTTGAGGGAGAGCAGCTGGCTAAGGGGGGGATATGTGAGCAGTGCTGTCAGGCAGAAGGAAGTATCAGATGCATGTCCTGCATTGGTGTGCATGCCTGGTGTGGTCCTTGTGCTGTGAAAGTGCATCAAAATCTTCCATTCCACAAGGTACAAAGATGGAATGCTACTCATTACCAGGATACCTCTTTGATGGCACTTGGGTTCCTTTGGCACATTGGCCATGGGGGTCATCCTTGCCCTCAAAACAGACAGAATCAGGATCCAGACTCAGAGGAGTTGGGCTATACTTCTGGGGAAGGGCCTCCCAATTACAGGTCAATGGCAGTCATATCCTGTAGCCTCCATGTTAACCTCTGGTAGCAGGAGATCCTTCAGATCAAAAATGACCATAGTGCACACAGAAGGAATTTTCACTCATGAGATTTCTTGGTGCAATTGCCCTGGGTCAGATCCAATCGACTGGCACCTTGATTTACTCAGGGAAAGACTCTTTCCAGCCAGTATAACAAAGCCCAAGACTGCTTTCACCTTTGATGTTCTTAATCACTTTCTCATTGATGCCCTGGAATGCAAGACTTCAGCTATGAGTTTCTATCAGAAGCTGAAGAGGTTCACCAACAATGCATTTCCTGACTGTATACCAGTTGAGTGCCATGCACTATTTGCTCTTAGGGGGTTCTATTAATGCATTCATTTCCAATTAGGACAGGTACTGAGAGCTGATGAGGGTTTCCAGACTGTGGAGGGATTTGAAACATAGGAAATGGTTTGGCTTTGGTCATGATAAAGAACAAGATCCTAGACAAGGAGAACTTGCACTCTTTTGTCCTGCCTGCCCACAACCAGGTATTAATTTACCTCCAGATTGGAAAACCCGATATGACAGGTATGGAGTGATAATCTGTAGGGTTTTGATTTCTAACTCCCCTCCCCCCTTAGTGATACCATAATGAGGCAATATGTCATGGATGGCAACTTCACTGCTCAGCATATGAAAATGAACAAGCCTGAGTTGGATGTGTCATTAGCAGATGGAACTGGTTACATGGTTGCTGAAAAGCCCTACCAGGCCCATCTTGAGCAGTCTTTGGATAACAAGGAGGTGAGTTGTCCCAAGGTCATGGAGTTTAAATGACCCACTGTACTGGTAGAGATCCACCTGCAGCAATCACAGGGCAATCAATGCTGCTAATATTAACAAGTCCAATCTCCAGTCCACTGGGATTGGTGCCACAGCCTGTGCTCGGCATGGTTGCTTTGTTCCCCATTCTGTGGTGGACTTTCAGAAAGGGGAAAAGTGAGTGGACCTGATGGATGTACTGGAAGCCTTTGGAACTCATTTTGTGCTAGGTACATGAACACAGATTACTCCATCTGCAGTGCTCTTGATTATCATTCAGAAAGCATCACAAAGGCCCTTGTCATTTATGATGTTGGGTGCCAGTGAAGTATTAACTTCCAGAGTTGGGTAAAATCCAGCTGCTCTCTCCATCTCCCTCCCTCCCTGGAAATCATTCCTGCTGTGGGGAAGTTTCATCTTGCTGCCCACAAACTCTCTTGCTTTCCAAGATATAGCCTCAACTTTATCAAGGGTGCTGGTCATCTGGATGGTGAAATTTTGGAGACATTGTGGGCTCCATTCAATAAGATCTCTCCCACTGCAAGGTCTATGACTCAGGCCCACAGACAAGAAGTGTATGATGACCATATGAGAGATTCTAACTGGAAAAAAATTGTCAACATGGGTGAGAGACCTTTTCTTCAAAGAGAAGTTAATTTACCCTGTACATCTCAGTTCCTGCACTGTTGAAAAAATACAAGACCTCACACAAGTGCCTAGAAGAAATGAATCAGGCATATGAGCAGTTGACAGCTGTTCTAGACCCTGGCCAACTTGCCCAATGGGAGTCAGATGTTCTTGAGGCAGAAGCAAATCAAGGTGATTCCCTAGACATTTATTTGTTGAAAGGGGAAAAAGGTCAGTATGTTCCTAAGAAACCCTGGGCATGTCTGATGGCCTGTAGCCCCTACCATGGGTGAAGTGCAGTGAAAGCTCATGAAAAATCCACCTGTGTCCCCAGGGAGCCATGGTTCTGTGGCTTGGCTTGTGGAAGGAATTAGCATAGAGGATGCACAGTATGGTCTGTGGTTTCCAGAAGCAATAGGTTGCTAACCAGACCTGCAGGGACCAGCTAAGATCTGAGCTTAGACAGAGCCACATGTCTACCAGACAAGAAATCAAAGTCTCAGAGAAAAGAAAAAGACTTTCTGCCAGGATTGACAAATTCCATGGCACCAGCCAGGCATTTCTCAAAGGTTTGGAGGTGGACGATGTCTTCATACCCCAGGATGATCCAGCATTCCTTGGGCAAGGTGAAGAAATTGATGACAATGGAGAGTACTGGGAAGATGATGAGGATTGGGAGGCTACAGAAGAAGGAGAGGAGCTACCTGCTGAGCTCATGAGTATATGGATGCCCTCATCCATTGGAGCAACCAAACTGATGGAGCTTGGCCTTCATGACCTCCTCAAAGAAGAAATGGAACTCAGGATTGGGCAAGCTAATGATTGTCTAGACCAGCTCCGAACCAACCTTGGACACAAGGCAATGTTATACAGACAGAACTTCTGCAGTGCACAATCAACTAGGGAAGGTACAAGAACCAAGCAGGACATCCAAAAAGTGGTGGCTCAGATAAACAAGCAGGTCAGAAGTTATCAGAGGGCAAGGCAGGCCATTCTCCAGTTGGAACCCAATCAAGAGATTGGACAAAAATATCAGGCTATTCAGCCCCAGGACCTGGCAGTGAGTAAGGATGTTACAGAGGAGAACCGGTTTGGGCAGGGGACCAGCAAAATGGCATGGTTTTGGATGATGGATGGTGAACAGGGTCAACTGAATGCTGAGAAGGGGGGTTTAATGGAGGAGTGTAAGTGTTAATACTACTCAAAAAAATCTCACTGATAAATTGTGGGGCAGTTTACAGGATCAACTGGCTCAAAGCAAGGGCAAGAAGGGACAGGTGGAAAGAAGAATTGTCATTGGTGAGGCATGAGATGGTTTGGGCCATCTCATGGTTTGAGTTCCAGAAGGACATATGGGAGAAAAGGGCTCTACAATTGTTGGAACCAGGGAAAAAGGCTTATGCTCACAAGCAGATAGTGTTGTGGACTGACTTTTCCAAAAAGGCCCAATTGATGTTCCAAGGTAAACAAATGGGTTGTATTTAGAACATGGGTATATGTGTATAGTTTTCCGATTACCCTTGCTTTGCACTTGGTATCTGAATCAAAGTGAATAGCAAATACATCAAAACAATCATACCATAATGGTACCTTTCCTAAAAGAGTGATGGCCAAAAACTTCAACCTCCTGCCTAAATTGGGAAAGGCTGAAAAATTTTCACCTTGCTTCCAACCTCCATCATCTGTGCTGCTAATTATCCCCCTGATTTTATTCTCTCATGGCTGATTGGTCTGAAGTCTACTCTGATCTGCTGTCCTCCTATGTGGAGCAGTACACAGATGCCTGAGGGAATCCTGACCTCAGGGCCCAGATCCTGGCTGATGTGAAATCCCAGATCCTTCAGCAAGCATCTTCAGGATCTGTGGAATTGCCCCAGAACTTGAGAGTGGTAGGGTATCTTTTTCATCAAGTTTCACATATCTCAAGTGTATTTAGGCCATCAGAAGGGTGTTTTTGCCAGAACTAGACCCTGAAGACCAGGATGATGAGGAACACATCATTGAGAGCATCCTGGCTGCAACAGACAAGAGGAAGGAGCAGCCTGGGACTGGTGAGGATGAGGATGGCAGAGAGGAGAGGACCAGACCTACCAAGGCTGGAAATTACAGAAAACCCTTCACTGATTTTACTGCCTCCCAGCAGCTCTTCAAAGAGGACATGGATGCCTATGATAGGGAGAGGAGGGACACCAAGGACCCCAAGACCATAGGTCAGAGGACCAAAATCATCCAACAGTGGTGGGAGTCTCTTGCAGATGACAAGAAGGCTGAAGCAGGGAGGGCTGCTTCCAAGTGGAATAAGTTGGGAGCTCCAAAAGAAACTCATGAATTGTCAGTGCTGGTCTACTTCAAATGTCTTATACTAATCATGCAATAATTCAGGTACAGGAGAAAAAATTTTCCCAACATGGCCAGAGACTTTATTGAAACAGTCAGGAGGACCATGGGGTCAAATATAGTGATGTTTCTGGCTCATGAGACTACTGATTCTCAGATCAAGATGGCAGTGTAGGTTCCCCTTTACCTTGTCTATCCAATGCTAATGAAGAAACCTAGCTTTGAAACACAACCCCCTGATGGGAAGAAGGCCTTCTCAGAGTCTTCAGAGCCCACCAAGGATTGGGTTCTAAAGGGAGAGCAAATGTTAACCAATTATCTTTTGACTGAAGCT